CATGCTGCTAGCATCAGTTATAACAGAACTGGAGATTGCTATTGAAAGATAAGCAAAGAATGGCATGAAGTTCCTGTCCTTTTAAACGGTTTCCGTCAATGACTTTTCGGATAGTTCTGTGTAATGGACCATTTGGTGCGGTCAGGTTGGTGGTTGATGGGAGCAGACGGTGGGCATCCCGGTGCCTAATGCCCCTACTGAGGCTGCTGAGGTTGTTCTAGGTGTACGACTGGGCGCTAGCATCTCGGTGCTGGGGCCCCCTATAGAACTGGCTGCTGTAGCTGCTGGAAGTGTCCAGCTGTGGCGCTGGTGTCCCAGTGCCGAAGGCCCCTAATGAAGCTTGCTGCTGTGGTTGGTAGATGTAGACGGCAGGGGTGCTAGCATATCCCAGTGATGGGTACCTGAAGCTTCGGGAGCTGGATGGCGGGGTGCTGACAACTCGATGTGGTTGTCCTGTGTGATGTAGGCTGCTGGTGCGGTCAACCCTGATGAGAGGTGGAGGCTTGGAATTCTGGTGTTGGTTTACGTCCTCTTTGCTTTGGTACCGACTTCTCTGCTATCTTGAGATGGAGTAATGTGAACTGTCCCTTTAACAGTGGCGCTGACGTCACGGCGTGCGTAATGCGCCACCTGGAAAGGAGCTGGTGTTGACGGAACTGAATGCATGGCACGCTGACATGATAGCTTGAAAAGTTTTCTGTATTGTCTGTTCTCTAAATCGGAATTGTTACATTTATAACCGTTTTCTGAAGAGTGGCTGTAGTTCGTGTCTTGATTGTTTGTGAAGAATGTGTGACCCAGGACCTCGCTGGCGCGTGGAAACGCTGTGATCAGCTGTTTGATGAGAGGCAGGGGATTCTTCGGGTGCAATGTTTCTGATTGTTGAGGAAAGTGGACCGTGGAAGGCGGATGGTGTTAAGGCTGGACTCACCCGCTCCCTGGTCGACTTTAGGATTGTAGAAAGCGGGGTCTCAAGCATGGAGATGGAGGAGAGAATTCGGCTTCTGGTGCTGGGTCTGCTGACGTGAACATGGAAGATGTCTCGAGTCCGTCCGAATAATTCAGCGTCCAATGGGGATAGCGATGTGCCGAAAACTTCTCGAAGAGGTAAGTGGATGGAAGTAGCTGGTAATAATTCGCGTTATTGGATGTTAGCGTAGCGTGCTCGACGCGATGTTGCTTGGTCTCGGTTCGTCTGCGAAATGCGAGGGCCATGCAGGATACGAGGGCGAAGGGGAGGACTTAGGACGTGTGGGTATTTATGGAAATTGCAATGACGTGCTAGATGTGTGGTCCCGCTCCTGAAACTCTGTTAATTAGCACCACTTCAAGTTGAATTGAGAGCTTTTACTTTAAAAAAAATTCTAAATGACATTAAAGAGTCTGTAGCTTGCTTGACACACCTCTGAAAGAACTGTCAAAAAACGTGATTCCCCTAAATGTCCTTTGCCTGGAGATACTGGGGAAATGAAAAAGCGTTCATAGGTTGATGGATGCAGGTCAAACACCGGAATGCGCACTTGAATGCACATGCTTTATTGTGAACATGTGAAACAGTCACTTCATAATTAAATTGTTGAAGAATAAAATTTTCTTGACATGGGATCAGACTCGCCACCTTAACGGAGAGTCTTACGCTTTACTGACTGAGCTAACCGAACACCATTACGTTCAATTTAAATATTATGTCTTATGTTCTGACCCCCCATCTAATGGAAAAATTGCTCCGATGCAAAACAAATTTGCAGACTTTTAAGGTAATAAAAACATAACGGTGCATTATGTAAGATCTTTATACACCACTGAAACCATAGTTATAGGGCTGTCGCGCTGAAGTAATTTCCACCGCGGCAATATGTTGGTGGTCAACATGCGGTATTATCGCATTTTGCATCAATTAAGTAATTTGGTGCCATATAGCAGAGTAAGAGTGTCTGTGTCTGTCACCTCACTGCTTCATGGTCTGAGCAAGCTAGCTGGCTTACTGTCCAGTTTCTCAGGACTATCCTTCAGGATCACAATGTTCGTCCAACATCGCCGAGAGTGTTAGCCACATTAGCCGCGCAATATGCTAACGCCAAGTTAGCTAACCTTTAAAATAAACAGTAAAACAACACAAAACACGGCAACACTTACAGCTTCAGAGTTTGAAGTCGGGTCACATATAGCCATGGCTATCCATCCTTGAACCATTACAGAGCTTGTTAAGGTTGTGGAACTTTTGAAGCACTCATTTATTAATTTAACACGCCCTTAAATGTACAGTATGAACATTGCAGTTGTTACGGTGCTTGCCATCCTCTGCGGTAAGCTTGACCAACAGCGTGGTATTTAAATTTTGCGGTTATCACGACAGCCATAGTTATGGATATTGTATTGCATTTCTGTCAATAGATCCTCAGAAATCACACAAAACTTTTAAGTTTTTGGATAATGTGGTAGGCTGGCTCTTAACCACCCATTAATCTAATATCCAAGAAATTAAAGTTTAATTTTAAAGTTACAGGGGGAAAAAACGAGACACTTTTACCATGAAATGTCACATAGGAATCATGATCAAAATGTACTTGCTTTGAACCTATACATTATGCAATCGATGTTGTGCATGAAAAAGTATGGATGAGGTCTTTCCCTGAGAGCCATAATGTATTTCCTCTTCAGTGTTTTTAATGAGCTGTTCGTATCTCTCTGAGAACAATTATTGCAATTTAGTTGTTCTCTATATGATTGTTGAATGATAATACTGGACAAATGATCCATCAGGGCTCAGTGACTCTGACTTTCCATATGGGAATGCTGCAAGTAGATCAAAACAAAGAGTCACATCATACACACCTGGTAGGAGTGAGTAGGAAAATGGAATTACGTGAAAAAGAGAGTTGAATTCTTGCACATTGTCAGCTCTAAAAAAAACAAAGGTAGCCCAAAATGCAATTTTCACTTCACTATTGTTTAGACATTTTTTCAATAGGCCTGGTTTGCTTGGTTGAGGGAAATTTGACGCTTGAGATTGAAGTGACAGAGCACTTGCCAGAAGTTGTTCAGACATCAGCAGTAAGCTATGTCCACAAGAAGCAGCAGGTTAGGGAATTCAACAGGGGAGTGCACTGCACTTGTTTACAATCTCATTGGCTAGAGGGAATACTGCATGATGAAAATGTATATCACCATATAGTGTCAAATTTATAATTACAACTATTAATTCTTTGCATGAGAACGTGCCATTTTCTCATTGGCTTTATTTTTTGTTAGTCCTGTGATAACTAGTGTTGTAGTACTCGTGACCGGTCTTAAGACCACATATTGATGGTCTTGTCTTGGACTCGACCGCATTTGTACTCGGTCTTGTCTCTGTCTCGGACATTGAGGACCGTAACTTTGGGAATATCAATACACTGCTTTTGCATTGTCTGATTTATTTGTTAACATCCAAACTTTGATTGGATGTAAAATGTATTGCTTCAAATGGAACCAATAACCCTAATAAAAAATGTGTTGTTACCGTTAACGACTGTCACCCCTCCCCGCGATGGTAAGCATGGAAAAGGAGTTTTGAATAAAGATGCTTGTTGACATTGATTTCGCCTCTTAGTGTTTGTGGACGTTTTTATGGGAATGTGGATCTTTCAGATCAATTTGAGAAGTACCTATGATCACGTTTCACATTTTACTGTGTTTCATGTAATGTAGGGAACTGGTCTTGACTCGGTCTTGACTTGGTCTCAGCCGCTAAAAGTGTTGGTCTTGTCTCGGTCTCGATAAACCCTGGTCTTGGTCTTGGTCTTGACTTGGTCTCAGTTTGGGCGGTCTTGACTACAACACTAGTGATAACTAGTGACCAGTGATAACCTCCCAGAGTTGAAAAATCCTGTGAATGTTACAAACTGTACTGCACTTCATGGATTGTAGTCTCACTAGTACCTTACCACACAAACACCATTACACTGAGCAGCTACACATTCTCAACCTAGCTCAATCTGCTTGGCTAATGTTTGCATTCCCAAACGCCATGTCCATATGGGCCCCTAATGCTGGGGCTAGCACTGGTGTATAGTTTGTTCATATAGGCCCCATGTGTGTCTGCTTGGACTGTTGGTGTGGTGTGAAGGTCTGTTATGAGTGGGGCCCAAAGTGAGCAATTATCCTTGATCTCCACATGGACAGGTTTTTTTTTGTCTCCCTATATTCCATGTACGCTGATAGACAAGTTGAGGCACTTAGGGGCAAACGTGGGCTTTAAGTGAGATTATGAGTAGGAATTAATTGGATTAAACATGGGTAAAATGTACAATATTATTGTTTTTTGGGGATTACTATGATTTCCCAGTCCCAGTTGTTTACTGGAATGGGTAAACTTGTAAGGTACAGTTAGATATATGGACAGACAACTGAAAGATCTGATTAATCCTGTATTGGCAAAATGTGTGTTAGGCTCACAATTTTTATTTTTTTCAGGGTTTCATAAAAAATTCAGTTTAACTTCAATTTTGTACCAATTTACACACAAGTTATTATTTTTTGCTTGCGAACACGCAGTGTCATTTACTGTACATCAAGTCTTCTTGCAATGAGCACAGTTTAGAAAATCCAGCCTTCCAGTAATAGAAATTATAGATAAATGGAGAGAAAATGCAATGAGCTGCTGATAATGCGTCCAATTCTATAAGTTTTTTTATTTTTTATTTTTTTTAAAGGACATGACTATCATGATTATCGTAGAGTGGTTCCATTGTAAATGGTATTTTTCAAATCTAATTTGAATAGCTTTTTTAATATTTAAAATATCAACTTACTTTTTTAATTCAGCACAGAAACCCACTAATAATGAGCCCTAATTTAATGAACTAATTGTAGTGCTGCAAAATGTGATAAAACATTTTAGTCTTTGATTTGCCTGTTATTGTACTCTAAAATATAAATTTATCAGTGATTCCAGAGTCAAAGATACACGTCGACAGCACTAATATGCTAAATATGTTTTCAAGCACACTCTGTTTTTTTGTATTATGCTTTTTATTTTTTTCATATGAAACAAATTGATTCTTCCAATGTCTTTGAAGTGTGAAATATCTTTTATCATGAATTCTTACAGTACATTCAATTAATGTTGATCTGAAAGAAAACATCTGAACTTGGCACTTAGAAAACAACCACAAAGAATTGTCACCTTTATTCATTTAGAACAAAATTTACAAAGCCATTCAAACAGTCCTTTTTTTTTTTTTATACTTTTATGTTTTTTAAACTCAACTGTTGAGAATATTCAAAATACACTTTTAATGTTGCTTCTCTCTCTCTCTTTGTACTTACAAATATGTACATTAAAGTCTCAGTGTCTTGTCATGTGTCATCCCACTGACTCTTCATCACTGGTAATAAAAATCCTTTTTTATGTTTTATTTATCTCTCTTCACATCGTTAGCACTCTGTTTAGCTCTCCGCTAATCTGTTTGAGCTTGAGTGTCTGTGAATATTGGGTGTGCTCAGATGGATGTCCCGTGGCTGGGCTCACTGGCTTCTGGGATGGGTCCTCCTGGCACTGGTTGGTAGGACATTGGCATGGGTGTCTTGACTGGGCTCTGCCGGAAGAGCCCCCCATTGGGTGCCCTGTGTTTGCAGCGGATAGAGGGCATGGTGGCACTGCTGAGGGGCAGGGGCAAGGTCCTGCCAGGGGCCACGCCCAGTGTCCTTCCTGCCCCATGACCCTCCTGGAGGAAGGTGCTCACAGAGAGCCGCGGCGGCCCCCGATGGGCTGGGTAGTCCCGTGCAGACAAGACCTCCAGGGACTGGCTGGGCTGCATGCTGCCAATATCCAGGGCAGAGATCTCGATAGACTGGCCTGGCAGCTGCTTGTGGGCCAAGTCCTCGTCCAGGAGGCTGTTCAAACGCTGGTGGACCTGTTCCAGGTTCACCTCTTTGTCCTAGAGATGGATGGAAAGAAAAGTGGAGCCATAGTGTGTGTGGAATAAAAGGAGAAAGGATAGTGAATAGAGGTTTAAATAGAAGGGAGAGCATGAGTATAATTAAGGATGAGTGTGATAAAGAAAAGTGAAAATGAATAGGCAGTAGAAGAAGTTAAGAGGTTAAAAGAAAGAATGGGATGGGAATAGAGAACGAAGAAAGAGAAAGACTGGTTATAGTGGTGGTTGTACTATCACCATCATGACCAGTTTACATGCAATGCAGTCTATTCACTATTATTTTTCAGTTAGTTCAACGCACATGTTCACATGAGTTTGAAGGATGCTGAAATATGCACATTAACTTATTTCAGCTTCATTCAGGAAACCAAAATATATAAATTAATAATATACTGGATTTTTTCAAGCAGCCAACATCGAGAGACATTCCCTTTTTAAAACACTAAATCTTAAATATGGAGTCATTAAAAGGTAATGTCTCTACTTCTGAAATGAACTTAAATGAAGATGTCTCTTCATGCAGAAGTGTTTAAATTTTCACCACAATTAGGTGGCCACACATCTGCACTGGCTGACTCTTGCATGAAGAGCATCAGCTGTTAACAAGACAGGCTCCAATGGATGCACAAATCCAATGAATCAGACTTTATGAGGCAATAAAATTTGAATGAAGATAAAGTAGTTGATGTCACTTAATTGACATAATCTAAATTACATTGAACAATAGTTAAAATATTCCTATTTTCCAGAAACACACATCAATGAGGCAACACAAATATTATGGGAAAGGAGAGGGAGAAGCCAAATAAAGAGCAACTGATTGTTTTAGCAGTCACGTTTTGGCTGCACCCTGCCCTCCACACAACAGTATTTTATTATATCATGCGCCCATTTAAGTCGAGCCACATTGAGGACAAACAAAACAAAAAAGCCAAATAACAGAAGAGACCATGGGGTGAGAAGACAGATGAAGCAACTACAATCTACCCCTGCCCAGCCCCATGCCCCGCCCCTTCGCTCTGACGCAGCCAATGACCATCCAGTACATTATGTCAGGCCTCTCCTGACCTGTGTCAAGAGCCTCGGCCTCCTCCCAGTCTCTCTCTCTGTCTGTCCATATGTCCCGCCTCCTTTCTGGTGAAGCACTCGTTATGTCATTATATGTCAATGGACCAGAAACCCTTTCCAGACTGTAATCCTTAGTCACCTGCTGAAAATCACAGACAACGATGCATAACCAAAAGGGTCCCCTGTGAATCCGGACATTGACATATAATTGCAATTTATTACTAGTTAGGTAACAAAAGGAAGAGTTCAACATTTTGGGAAATACTGGTATTTGCTTTCTTTCTGAGAATTAGATGAGATTATCTATATCACTCTCGTGCCTATGCATTAAGTATAGAGCTGTGAAGTGGGGGGAGCCATTTCAGGAACCCCGGTCCTAGTCTGATCATTTTCTTCAGCAATGGCTTGTAAGGCACGACATGCTCGTGGTTAAATTATCGGTATAAAAGATGAGTAACAATGTGTTAGAAAATATCTAGTTGTTTTTTTTTAAAGCCTATGTACATGAAAACATAAAATGATACGGTATATTTTTATTTACAATGTCCATTTAGGTGTAAAGATCCAATCACTTAAAGTTAATGGGCAGAAGATAAATGCATATTTCTTGTTTGTTTAATCCAAACACAAACTTGAATGTGAAGTCTCATCACCACTATGAGATTTTTAGGCAACCAATAGAGGTGCTCTTGACAGGTGCTGTGTGTCAAGAAATAGTTACATAATGTAACTCCCACAAAGGAACTTCAGACCGATTCTACCCCTGCTTTCAGTCTTTATGCTAACCTAATCTATCTCCTGGCTCTAGCTTCTTATTAAATGGACAGAATGAGATTGAAATCAGTCTTCTCATCTAACTCCCCTCAATAAACCAAATGAGGTGCTTTTTCCCCAAAAGGTTGTCCTGTTCCTTTAAATGACCGATGTGTTCAGGCTTTCATTAGGTGTTCTTTGAAATGGCTGTCATAATTTCCACATACTGTATGTTTGTGCTGTCATAGTGCCAGCAATACCTAGAATAATTTAAAGTGATACTGCACCCAAATCCTTTGAATATTAAACACTCGTTCCCTGCAGGCTTGGAAGGTAGCTGTAAAAAGTGTGTAGTGTGATGCGGCAATGTACAGCTTGAATTTCACCGGTGAGCAATGATGTCATCTTCGGATTGCTTGTTTTTTTACAATCCCAACTGTTAAAACTCACAAAAGCAGCAAATCCTGACATTTTGAAAGTTTCAACCAGAATTTTTCTGTAAAATTTGAATTGAATAGTCTATTTTAGGGTTAGAACATTTTAGATTTTTTATTTGAACTTGTGTTAGCTAGTTGTATTTGCTATGGTACAAAACAAAAGAAAGGCGTCAAATCTTCACATTTGAGAGGCAATGTTGAGTAAACTGCTGTTATATCTATGAAAATGTAATTATTTTCTTTCAACTAATAATCGCTTAATAATAATTTTGGCATACCTGAGATTATAGATGGACAGCAGTGTATTGGATTAAGCTGCAGTAGGTTTTGATACTTTTCCTTTTATAACCAAGAAAACTTTTACAGTCACATTTCAAGCCTTGAGAGGCGGTTTGATGCTCAAACAATAGATTTGGGGTGGAAAATAGCTTCAAGACATGTCTACAAACAATAATAATGGAGCACACAACCATAATTATACTCAAACAACACATCTAGCACATCTTATCTTCTATAAATAATGACACAGTGATGTTTGTCTGTTGTGAATCTCACATGACAGCAGTATGTGGTTATTATGAAAGCAGCTGCACACAAAGACTGAAGTAAAAATCAACAGCAGTAACTCAAACTTTCGTATGCACCAAAAACCAGCATTAGTGGAGTTTGAGTTACTGTGTGAATTTTCAGGACAGGACTGGGTCTTAAATGGGTGTCCTCAGGGTCTCATTGGATTGTTGGACTGTCAAGTCAAATGGGCAGGTCAAGGCTCAGATTCTTTACTATGTGCTTTTGCTCACACTTTAGTTTAGGGATCCATGTCAAGCCTTAGTTGTCTGGACGCCTCATTCAGAGGGGCTGCCCAGTCGACAGCAGCAAGATGAAGTCAGAGCTCTAAAGCATTAAGACTTGAATGGATTAGCTAAAGAGAGCTATTGTACAACTGAAGCACTTATTGACTCAGAAGTACAATTTCAGTATGTGGTTCTGAATTTGCAAATCAACGCTATATTTTACTTTTATCATTCCAGCTGCAGTTCTCTCACATGAACACTAGTGATTTTGAGTTTATTCAGGCCAAAATGTAGGCAATTTATGTTTGTATGTGTCCATATGAGAGAGAATCACAGTGAGTCTCTTTGAGAGAGAAGCCTCAAAAGTCCCTAACAAAGCACCCCAACCTCTCTCCCAACATGAGAAGGAATGAGTAGACTGATCACATGATGTCTTGACATCAGGGGCACACCTATTATAACTGGGTGTACTGTAGCTCTACTAAATCGGGGCTGGCGTCAGCGCCTGCTGGATCCATAAAGTAGAGTGTGGCAGTGGCATCTCTGGGCAGGACCGGGGGGCCCGGGGGTCTGGGTCTCGACCGGGGCCTTGGTGGGGCAGGGGGACCCGTTGTGGCCACCGTGGCCCGGTTCTGGCTTAGCAGGCTAGGGACTGGGCCCTGCCCCGACGAGTTGTCATTGGTCACCTCTTTGGGCTGCTCTCTTCGGCAGTGGTTGCTGTTCCACCAGGTCTCCAGTGCAGCCACCAGGAGGGCCAACAGCAGCCCTGCAGCCAGGATGCAGAAAACGCCGGCAAAGCTGTGGAGGCGCAGCGCCCGTCCCTCCGGCTGGGCGTCTGCGTGGCTCTGCAGGTCACAGCGGCCTTTCTTCGGCCACCATTTCTGCTTCAGGATGTCGAGGTCACCTTTTTCCTGAAGCTCCAATATCCTGTGGAGAAGATAGACCACGTAGGTGCACAGTTTGATGTAATAACACCACAGAACACTGGACAAATCCTTCCATAGCATTGATTCAGGCAATGTTAAAGGCTGGCTAATCAAATTACAAAGACAGCAAAGTAGAGAATAATTAATGTAAAATTAATATACTGTTTTGATAATTACATAATACTTTGTAGCTCATAAAATAAAACTAATTAAAAAACACAGTTAATGTACTGCATTAGCACTGATTGTTAGCTCATTAAAGACTCATAGTGGATAAAATGCTACTAAAGCTTCAGTTTGAACAGCAACAGATATGATAGAGACACATTGTTGAATTCCTAAATACTAACAAGACCAGTTCTGTGTAAACAAGGCAAAGAAAAACAACGCAACTTCAAGATTAATTGGTTTCATGTAAAATGATATAAGCGTGGAAACAACGATGATCAAATACTATTATCATCTCATTAGTTAGTGTACAGGGAGGAATGGTTGAATGTTGTGGAGGAGAGTGATGACGGCTCAGTACAAACAGACGTGAGACAGTGAATCATTATTCAACCTCTTCAACAGTGACTGGCACATATGTGTTTGTGCACAAGCCTGAATGTTCACTCAGAGCAAATAGGCACTCAGAAAAATGTACACCCAGCTGCCAAAGCTTTGACATTCATACACATTTATACTTGTGAAGAATCACAACCCTAGATGCCTTCAGATATTCACCATTTCTTTCCCTGCAAGTCATGCATTTAAGATCTTTCACCGAAGCAGTGTTTGTAGCTTACAGGGTGATCAATCCTCCCATTTCGGATGGAGTTTGTCCTGAATATATATTTTACACAGAGGAGAATGTTTGCTGCCCTCATTTGAAATTCACTTCTGTCAATATTGAAAAACTACACTGAAAACATTTGGAGCAGCTTATTCTTCTAGTCTTGACTCGGGGAAAAAAACAGATTAACCAAAAACAAATGGGCAAATAGCATGGCATGAAAATATGAACTAAACTTTATTTTTAATTGTATCTAGACAACAGTCAACATTAACCCCAGTGCCATTGTGGTTGACCTCCAAATAAAGTGGTTTGATAATCTATTTTAACTGCCGGCTCATTTAAAACCTTGTCTGATATTTGTCTTGAATTTAATGCATATTGGTCTAATTTTTTAGAAATGTCTCAATGTTTCTCAATCTCAGTATAAAATATATACCAATATACGTACTTCTGAGAGAAGAGGTCTCTGTAAGGACTGCCGTGTTGCAGGGCCATGCCGTAGCCTCTGGTGCTCATGCTGTTTCCTGCTACAGTCAGTGTGCAGTCGTCGTCTGTCAGAGCAGCGTACTCTACCACCGCCATGTCCCACAGAAAGGCATAAGACTCTCGCTTTGCCTGGATAGTTCAACAAAGGTTCCCGCAACACACACACACACACACAAGACATATACAAAGGATAAATACATGAATGATGTGTTCAGAGTGTCACTACCTGAGAAACCTCCTTTAATAAACAGGGTTTTTTTTACCCCCCCCCCCCCCTTTTATTGGAGATAAAGATTGTACCATACAAATAAAACAAAGACTCTTCACTATTCAGCTGGATACGGTTAAGAAATACAAACCAAACTATCCTCACCCCATGATCCTGAAGAAATCTACCTTAAAGTGAAAATATAATAATAATATAAAAATCCCATTACTACTTACTTTGATAAAAAAAAAAAAATACTCATAATGTCCCACCCAAGCATCCTGTTTTAAGCATCTATTTGTTTAAATACAGAGTGAAGACCTTATCAACATGCCATTTCCCTGTGATTTTTATGTGTCAAGTTAGGGAAGCATTGCAAGCAACAGTCTGGTGGAAAGAAATGTTTTGCTTGAATTTTCATTTGAACCCATGTGCCTGTGTTGGTGGGAGAATAGTACATACAAGAAGACTTTTCATACAGAAAAAAGCAACGTGCAGAACAAACTGTTGTGCTAAATATTTGCCAGAAATTAGCATAAACATTTTTGCCCATTATTTAGAGTAAACATTAAATAACATTCACAACATTAGATTACTTAGCAAAAATGATGAAAATAGCTGCATCCTTATTATATCTGGCTTTGCATTCCTCTGTGTGTAGCATATTTTCAGAGACATGATCATGTGCTTTAGCCTCAAGCGTACACTGTGGAGAATAGTTTTTTTTTTTTATTTCTTTTTGTACGCACTTCCCTGGCTTTCTTCCCTGTGGTGTCCTTACATCCTACATGTTCCAGAGTAAGACTGTGCACTCATCAAATACAGCTGAACAGCCTTTTCACCGCACATCTCATTAGGACTACACAGGGCCCTCAAGTTCACTAACCTTTGAGCAAACATATACTGGAGAAATCACATTGCCATTGTGGGCTATGAGAAGCGCTGTAGTAAATCAGTGACTGAATAAAATGGCTTCTTCTCATCAAATGTTTGGCATTGCATTTAAAACTGAGTTGTTTTCCATTGATGTCTGTATCCGTGTAAACTGGCCTGATGAAACTGAATGCAATTAGCCACTCAAATAATAAAAAATTACATGTATCTAAACCGTGCTGCAATTTGTTAAATTATGGATTATTCTTCTGTTGTTTCTAAGTGTGTGTGTGTGTGTGTGTGTGTGTGTGTGTGTGTTAGTTAAAGGAAGACAGAAGAGAGAATGCATAAAATATTAGTGTATATAGAGTAGCACACTGAGTTTGAGAGAATAATTAAAACCTCTCACAATTAAATAGATTTATCACTTTGCTGACATGCCTCAGTGAATCAGGGACAATAATTATTTAACTAACTTACAGGTTGTCCCTACCTGGCTGTGTGACAGAAAAAGCTACAGTTAATTAGCATCAAGGCTGAGCTTATGTTTTGCAGTTTTCACTCTGAAGTCTATACGGCAGTTGACTGGAGCTGACTGTGCCATTATTACAATTTATTTACAAGCTATTATATTTTCTGGTAGAAAAATCAATCCCTTCATTGCCTGTTTCATGTGAAAGAATAGGTAATTTTTTTTTACTTAATGTGCTTGAATGATAATGATTTAAAACAATGTCATTTTAATGTTTCATAGTCCTTGTGTTAGCTAAATGTTGTAAACCAAAACAAATAAATACTCACCTTCTTGATTCCCTCTGATGGGCTGGAGACAGAGTTCTCAAAGCCATTGTTCTTGTTGACGGTCTTCCAGAGCTCAGCGAATGTGTTGTCCTGCTCCAGAGGATTGGTGCCTTTGGCCTGGAAATACTCGTACACGGCAGAGTCCCTCACTGTCCCGTAAACCAAGTCCGCCTGCTTGGATAGGTCCTGGAATGACCTACAGTCAGGGTCACAAGAGCGAGTTTGTTTACTAGACCGATCGGGAAAAACAGGAAATAATAAAAAATTCTAATTGAAAATGATTTTCTTTGACAAGGCTTATGTCATGTGACAGTTTGTCTTATACCGAGAGCTGTATTATATGACTGTCAGCAATAAATATGACTATTGTGGAAGTTGGAGTATGTGTATCAGAAAGAGTGGGAATTAATCTATAGAGGGTATTAAAGGACTAATTAACCATTTTGCCTTTTTCCATACTTATTAAGCTGAGCTACACTCAGATACATAATTTATTATTATATATTAATATATTATTTTTAATTATTAAAATATAGGCCCAATATACACAGCTCTTTTCAAATATGACCTATTTAAACGTTAACAGCTGTTTTCTTCCACTGATCTGTGTTAAGACAGGTTCGAATCCAGTGTTTTAAGTTTTCTATATTATATTCTATATTTCTATATATCTAAATCGCAGACTCTGCCTTTGATTTAATACTTGTAATGTGGTAATGAATGAATACATTAGTGTGTTACTGTCTCATGCCATTATTTTCTCACAAGCACAGGCTGTTGCACATGTTTACTGCCAACAAAACCGTTACTGCTTACAATATGTCAGCTTGTAAAATCTCAATCATGTCTTAATTCTCTACACATATGATGCAATAAATCACTGACTTCGGAAACACTTCTGGTTCAGTCAGAAAATACGCATGTACAACAAACGCTTGACAATGAAACCATTATATTACCAACTTCAGCTATGAATTACACATTTAGGCCTCATTCTTTTCATACTTGGACAACATGGATAAATTAATTCATTACTGTATATGTATATTTATGTTGTAAAAGCAATAGTAAGTCTTCTTCAAATTCAAGTTTATATGTAAAACATCCAGGTGGGAATGTTTATTTTTCACTAATCTAGATAATTTATTACATGTTATAAGAAATTTATTATTTATACATTTTTGTAAACTAGTGAAACAGTAGTGTCAATTCTGAAAACAAATGTGAAACAATCTACAAACAGAATATGACCCTCAATCATTTTGCACTCATTCAAATTGTGGTTTTCAAGTACAAATCACATAATTCTATTTGTGGATTGAGTGACTTTGTGGATTTGAAATCCATTTGTAGATCATGTTTTGTGTTTACAAATTGTAATGCATATTTGTGACTGATTGAGTCTGTGAGTTTACAATGATAGTGACATCGAATTACCCCAATAATTAGCCCCTAATAGTCTGCATCAACGTCTAATCTACTTTTTATGAACAATACTTTATATTTTGAAAACTAGTCTGTCCTGATTGAAATGCTTATTATGCAGATGTTATGTGGGCAATAAGAAATGAGGCTTCATTGCAGCAGCTGAATTTTATATGTAGCGATTATTGCCAATTTTGTACAGCATCATATTTGCTGAATGCCAATGTCCTCGTAATTAGAGTTTGCTTCCAATGTAATTTAAATGGCAATCTATCCAGAACATTATGTACATTGTGTGGTATTGGGTTGATATGTTTGACATTCTGCTCTGTGTATTTGCTGCATTTCTTAAGAATTTCAATATACTAGAGTAGCGGCAGGATGTTTATAGAACTAAGGTTGTTTCTCATCAATTTCCTAAAAAGTGAGAGGCAAATATCTTATCTCCAGATGATGGTGGACTAATTCAACCATTTAATTAGCAGCATATATGGTGTAGCAGGGGTTGTTGCAAGAGAGAGAGAAACTGATAAGATATTGCATGGTCTGTCAGATGCCAGCTTTACTGCAGAAAGTAAAACATTATGCTTTCATTTTGTTTAACAGCTTACTTTTATGTAACTACACAAGCACCTACACATGTAGAACTATAGATTTGTGATACATCAACACTATAAATATTTGGATCCACCAGCTGGAGTAAATGGAATGAATGAATAAAAGAGGTGAAAGCCCCTGTATTGTAAGAGAAAACATGAAAAACAATAGACAAATGGTGGCACATTTAAAAAAATCAAAGAGCCAGTAAAATTAAACAACTAAGAAGTAATAATATCAGGCAATGACTATTTTAAGTACTGTATATGTACCGAGGAAGTTGTTTGCCTTTTCATTCTCAATTAATATAGTCGTCAAAACAAGCCCTCTGTTCATTGGCTGAACCAAGACTTAAACACACACCACATTTTTGACTCCTCTCTGCCATGCATTGCTACAGAAACACACACTTGTAATGCATGTTATTCTCTTATGTGTGCGTATCACTAATTTCCTTTAAGGTGTTAAATGGCTGGCTACACAGTTGGTCATGGTTAAAGTTCAGCTGAAGAGTTCACTTAATTAGTATTAGTCAGTGCAATATCCTGGAGGGCAAACAAAAAAAATTATTAAACTAATTGACTTTCTCTCTCATTTGCTCCTGCTCACACTCTCAAGAGAGGAATCTGAAATAGTTTTGTGTCGCAGTGTGGTACAAAATAAAGAACACTGTTTCACCTCTGTGTCTCAAGGTGTAGGCGTTTTGTAAAATCTTATTTACAGAGAGAGCAAACGAAAAGGGGAAAAAGGCATGTAGTGATTAAAGAGATTTTCAAACATGCAATGTTGGCTTAAGTAACCATACTCTTTTCAGAGTATGCTGTTCATTGTTCCCATTACACCAAATTAACATATCATGCATGCATGCAGAGGCACATTCAGAGGCACACTAGAGTAATCACACATGCGCACACACTCAGTGGGAAGCATGCTCACATACATACTATAAAAGGAGGGTATATATAGTCTCGTTTGGCACTGGTGAAAAGCCCATACTGCTTTTTTGCAGTGTACCAGTATCTGTAACTGACTTTTGGAAGAAAGAAAGCTGATTTATCCAAGGATAAAAAGAACAACCTGACTTTTGATGTTATTAAAATGAAGAGAGCTGGACTGCACCTCATTCTGGTTTTTGAAATTCAAGTCATATCTGTCAGAATCTTTCCAAGGTTTGTACATTGGATTTATGTCTGAGGACAGACTGCATATGCTTTTATGACAAACATTTCCAAAGCAGGGAAAACATTTCAGATTTGCCAATTTGCAAATATCTAGCTCTTTCTGTGATGCACTTTATATTATTAGTAGATCTTTGTTCACTGGGTCTAATTAAAAAGTATTTTACCATGTGCAAAAAATGAGACATGACATTTAAAGACAATCTTGCCACATTAGACTATAGAGGGATAAAATGTTGACATCTAGAGCTGAGCAGTGAAGGAACTCTACACACTCGTGCATCTGGGGCCCTATTATAGAAACTTCCTAACCGGCAGATCCTGTCCTAACCGTTTTATAACCATGGTAATAAGGGATAGGAACTGATTTAGGAAAAAGGCCATTATGATTAACAGTTCATAAGTCAATAATACTTTCCTAACTTTAGAAAAGAAAAGTGTAGAAGCATCCTAACTTTGAGTTATTAGGATTTCTTAACCTGAGATAAGATAGGATGAAGTAAGATAAGATAGGATTTCTAAAGTTAGTTAGGATTTACTTCTGCAATACCAAATTGAGAAAAATCCTATCTTAGACTCTTCCTATCTTAACTTAAGATAGGAAGAGTCTGTAATACGGCCCCTGGAGAGGAAGATTAAAAAAATGCCTTTTGTAATACACCAATCCAAATACTATGTTGTTTTTTTGCGCCCACACTTTAACTTCGTTTCAGACAGCACAGCCTTTCTACCTTGACCACAATGGCTCCAAGGCAAGTATGTTTTGGGGGCATTTCAGCAAAGGAATACCTTTTCCTTTTTGAAGCCAATCTACAGTCTAATGCATTTACATGGAGTTGAGCAACTGGCTTACAGTCGGCTTTCTCCAGTAAGTCATGTAAACGAGAAACCTGGTTTCTGTAATCGGGGTAGGAGATTAGGAAAACCTGATTTCCCCAGGTAGATTTCTCCTGGAGCTGATTTCTCTGCCATGTATACCACAAACCAGTTTTCTAATCTGCTTACACGTACGCATGTGCATGAGAAAACACTGCAGACATAGAAAGTTGAGCAGCTTGATGAAAGGACAGATGATCATACAGCGTCCACGCATATCAAATAATTCCATCCAAAGTCAGACTAAAACTGAAACTAACACAAAGTAGCCTAAAAGTCTAAATACAGAAACTTTGGTGCTGTGAGGAAAAGCTCAGGTCTGTCTGTCAGTCTGCTCGTACAACACAAGCATCTTCTATCACTACTACAGTTAAAATAAGAAAACTGTGCTTTTAAAATCAGGCCTGGGGGATAAGGGAGAAATCTGATTACTGATGTGGTGAATCTATACATGAATTTACAGTAACCAGGTCATTACAGTGCATCTAAATGCATTCTCAGATTACTTGCATCTATCCTCCAGTGGGACTACAATAGCGCAAAAGCAGCTGCCACCCTCAAAGGAGGTGAATTCTAGTTCTAACAGAAAAAAAGAAGGAAGCACAAAGCACAAATCGGGTCTAGATCTCAAGCGCCACATCACACTCATGCAATAGTGAAACGACTCTCGAAACCAGTTCATTCTTTGTCATTTCAAAGCGTCGAGCAGCCGACTTTCTTTGCAGTTCCCTTTTGATATGTGTGGGTATTCCTGATCTATTTTTGTACATAGTTAACACGTAAGTCATTTATAATTTTAAACTGAACCTGATGGTGAAGTAAGCTTGTTAAAAGTCATATTTTAACATACATTACTAAAGCAAATTGTCTGTCTTAGTTATAAAAAGTAGTGTAGATAAATATATTTATTCAGTGCCTTTTTATTGGACATCAACATCGCATTTACAAGTGTATTTTCAAAAAATAGATGTAAATAAGCGGTTGCAGTTATACCTGTCAGATGCAGCAGAGCCGGTGCCGACAGCTACATAAATTAAAATGAGAGTGTATCTCTTACAATACAGGGGCTTTGTTGTATTGTGTATCTGTTGCATGCAAGTAAAAAATGCATCTGAAACGA